TTTTTAGTAGCTGACGGATGTACTGGTCCTCGGGTAAGGCAGAACTGATTCCAGTAGACTGGTATTTCGAGTTGAGTCCTCTTACTGAAATCTTGGTTTGATTATCCACCAGTGTGCGATTAGTCATGTCGACAGACAGGTTGAATCTGGCTAAAAAATCTGCCCCCAATATAGGCGTTGTTACACTGGCTATGGTAAAATTCCAGAACAAATTCCGTCGCATGCCGAGATTGATATTGAGCGATTTCTCTCCGTAAGTTGGTATTTTGGTACCGTTAGCTGCTTGAAGATGATAAGACTGTGGCATAGTCTCCTGATTTTGTGTTGGTGGTATCACGCTTATTTCAGCTCCGGTGTCTATTAAAAGTTATATCCATTAATTTTGCCGCGGATATAAAACAGACGACCTTTTGTTAAAATCCAGCAACAGCCGTCGTCTCTACTGGCTGGAATTTCCGTTTCCCGCATTCGCGTTGTTGAAAGAACAAGGATGTGTACAACGTCTCGCCTCAGGACCAAACCTTTTGTGGTAGTAACAAATTTCATCTTTTCGATTGCGGTTGTCAGTCCGGCCTCTGCTGAAACTTCGCTTTCTGTAGCCTGGACATTTATCGCGGCGGTACTGTCGGTCTTTTTGCAGTAAGCCTTGTAATTGTATAGACAACCTTTCTAGAGTAGACTTGAGGTCGTTAAATTCCCTGTCTCTTTGTTGGGCTGGTTGTGGTTGGATAGAGTTTACCCTGCGGCTTCGAAAACTTTCATGGATCCGATCTGCAATGTCCGCAAGTTTTTCTGTCTGCGTTTCCTCCGTCATGGGTGCGAGGATTTGTGTTGTTGTAGTGGGTAACTTGTCCAGCCATAAGCTCCGCATAATGTTCTCGGACATTTTGTTGTCACCCAGTAAGATTCGCATGTGCCTCAATAACTGCGATGGGGTGCGGTCTCCTAATTCAACCTGAGTGAAAAGGTTCCGTAGCATGGCTTCGTTCGAGGCACAGGTCCGTTTTAAAATTGCTTCCTTGAGTCTATCGTACGGGTTGTCATCCGGGACATTTTCCAGTAAATCCATTACTTCCTCGACGATGTCTGCTGGCAGTTTTTCCACTAAATAACAATACCGGGTTCTCTGGGAGGTGATTCGCTTCGCATCAAATAATGCCTGGATTTGAACGAACCAGGACTTAGTGTTAGTCGTGTTGAAAGCCGGGATATTCAACGATAGTGTGGCGAGAGGGGTTTCCGAAGATTGTGATTCCATTGTGTCCTTCCTCTTCGTTTTGTTTGTTTTTTTAAATGTAGTATCTCACGTCGGTCACCAATTTGTAGAGGGTGCAAAGAAGTCCCTCAAACAAATAATAGAAAGAAAATACACTACAAATAAAGTAAAATAAACTTTTGTTTATTTTTGTAAAGAATTATTTTTTTCCTTGTACAAAAATGAAATTGTCCGTAAAGCTGCGGAAGAAAAAGAGAAAGAAAGGAACTGGGAATGTGAGAGGGAAAGGTAGGACTATGTGTAGCGAGTGAGATGAGAGAAAGAGAGGGTGAAAGAATGTTCACTGATACGTGATATTGCCTGTTGTGTGAACCACTGAATCCTCTCGGTGTGTGTGTGCTCGAAACTGTCCGTGTCGCTTTGATGTCAGCTATTCTCTCTCCCTTCTGATGAGAGTTTCTACCTTCCTTATATAAGAATGATGAGGCTCCGGGGAGATTAAGAGATGGGTTTCTTATGTCGAGTCCTGATTGGTCAATAAATCCTATTTTTGACCACGTGGTGTGCTTTTCAGTACGTCCGAACTTTTGGGTGCGCCGTCCTTGTTTTTGACCCCACAGGGCATGGTAAGGAATGAATTCCCGCGCAATTGTATTTTTTGATACACGTGGTGTGAATTAATTTTTATTGTGTGTGGAAAATAAAATAAGAAACAGCACAGTCTGTTCTGTAAGTGTTATCATCTCTTATTTTTTATTTTTCATAATGCCTTTGGGAAATAATTTGTATCTATTCCTTGCAATACATATATAAATATATATACATATATATACATATATATATATATATACACATATATATATACGCATATATACACATATATATATACACACATATATATATACATATATATATATATACATATATATACACACATATATATATACATATATTATTTAAGGAAAATTTTTTGACGGCAAAAAATAGCTATTTCATTTCTCTGATTAAGGAATTTTTTTTATTTTTTATATATAAACCTAGTAATATATAGTTTCTCATGTATGCTCAAAGGACACGCGTCATTTATTGGCTTACATATTTTAGCTTCCATTTTACTTTAGGTATTTTGTCGGATTCTTTTTAGTGCCAGAAGCACTTTGAGAGATATGTTTAGTTTAGAATTCGTGTTATTTTATTTAACTATAATTTTAAAGGATGTTTAGGTTAGAATACATTTTATTTTACTACAATTTTAAAATATTTTCACTGTTAATTTTAATAAAGTATATTTCTTTTTAAAACAAGTATATGTAATATGTCAAAACATTTTCCTTAAATAATATTTTGAAAAATAAAATTTAAAAAAAAATGTGACCTGATAATATACATACTTATATTTGATATGGAAAAATAATTTTATATACTGGAAGTAATTCTATTACATTTGTTTGATTTAAAAAGTAATATAGTCTATTAAAAATTAAAAGGAAAAATATTTTAAAATGGTAGTTAAATAAAACGCATTCTAACCTAAACGTCACCAAAAAAAAAACCTTTAAGTATACAAATAGAAAAAATACCGTAAGAATTTTTGTCGTTAACAATAAAATTAAAAAAAAAAAAAAAAAAAACAGACGACATGAATTTAACGGATGTCAGAATTCGTTGAAAAATGCATCCCCACCCATACCTAAACTTAACCCCTTTTTCGAACGTAACAAATAACTGATACAACAAAATTTAATAAAAATGAACATGCTACCACCCCTGGGTGATTGGATTTCTCGGTATCCTTGGTAACGTAAATTATGAATTTCCCTTGCAGTTAAAACTCAGTAAATTTAAAAATAAGTTACTCCAAATTCACTTGAGGATGAAATGAACTAATGTTTTTAGTTTAATTACAAAATTAAATTTAAAGTTTTTAGCTTCCATTTTTAAAACATGGTTATTACTGTGTAGCGAAAAAACATATTTTAAATCAGTTAATTTATAATATCAATGCTCTGAAAATTTACACTGAGCACTATTTTGTATAATATAATTTTAATATATCATATTTTATATGAAATCAACAAAATTGTAGATATAAACAACCACAGCCTGTTTTCTGGATTGAAAAACACCCAGAAATACTACATCCCAGATTCACTAAGGAATTCATTATCGATAGACCTACCAGCAACTATGAGATCACGCAGATTTAGACGAGATAAAGCGCATCTTGCATAAGTTCATCAAATTATGCAAAATGTCAGTGTCGTTTGGCCGCGTGAATGACAAGATACTGAATGCGCTTTTTTTTAGCAGTATTACCAGATCTTGTCAGTAGGCTTTTTCGAGCGTCGTCTAGGATTGACGAATTACCAACTGACCAAATGTTGGCCCGAGCTCGGTGCATCCTCAAGGAAACAGAACCAGTTGCAGCAGCAAGCACGAGTCGCGTGATATTCCGACACGATAAAAGCAATGCGGATCCTCCCCTGGTTGACAACAGGTATGAAGGCCCCATATGCTATAAATGTGGTAGTCGCAACCATTTTTCTAGAGTGCCGGAGTCTAAGTGTTAAGGGGAGCACGTATCAATGATCACAGGGAACCCTACGTTGCTATCGTTGTAATGTGTGGGCCACATATTGTGCAGCTGTTTTGGGAAACGTATCCAGGGACAATGTATTGTCACTTTAGTGACACAAATTCCTGATGCAAGCAAAGCATCTTGCAACTTTTGACGAGTAACCATTGGATTTTGTTTAATTTGACGCATTAATTTCCTCGAAGATTTTGAAGAAATCTTCCGGGGACCACCTGTTCTTCTTTGGTTTTCAACAATTCTGAGATTTTATACTTTGCAATGAATAAACTAATGGTAGTAAATGTAATATTCAGGTTGCCTAAGATTTTCCTGTAACTTTTCCTTCTTAATCAGTTCTTTTTGCGAATTTGTCAACTATTTACCTCATGATGATAACCTTTTTGCATGAATATCAATTATAGAATTATAGTATGTTCTGTTTGTATTTTTTAGGCTAAAAGTAACTATTGATAACGTTATTGGAACATTCTAGAATATTCCACCTGAATAATCTTGAGTATTAAAGCAATTTAACAGTTTTAAAATCTGAAATGTGCATTGTACGAATAATTTTTTCAGCCATTAAAATGAATAAATGGGATTCATTTCTATCAAGTTTTTTTCTATTTTCTATGCATAACTGTGTACAGTTAATTATGTGAAAAGTATATTCATTCATTAGTTGGAAATACAATAAATTAAAAATTTGTATGCGTACGTATATTTGTTCCCAATATATATATATATATATATATATATATATATATATATATATATATATATATATATATATATATATATATATATATATTCTCTATAGCTAAGTCAGATCAAAAGACGGTTCTGTATAGGGCTCAGGTTCGATTCTTGTTGGAGAACGCTTATTTTCTACGAAATTTCTCAAGCATTCAGGCCGGTAAATGTCCAATTAAAAAACACAGCACTTACTTTCCCACATATTGTTTCTGGGATAGTATGCATTCTAATAAGTAAATTATGTTCCTGACTTCTACAGTTAGAGTTGTGGTAGATTTTGAAAGTAGATTTAGTGACTGAGCTAGTGAACGGATTGGTGTGTCTATAGTGGTTACAACATAGGCTCCTATTTGAAAATTTTTAAGGTGAAGGGAGAACAAAAGACACTCATTGTGTTACTGGCCCTGAGAACCTGCTGATATTTTTTTTTTAAAATGGACTGTGATTGGACGGTTAAGAAGTGAACCGCCCCCCACCTTTGAAGGGGAAGGGAGAACTGGGACTGGACTTCAGAAAAAGAAAACGAGACCGCTGAGCGACAGGGGTTTTTCTCTCTCCCTGCTTAAAAGGCAGGTAGCGTTTGCCCATAAGTGAAGGATGCATGGGTAACAAGTTACTGAGGGCAAGTTTCCCCTTCAGAGAAAGTTTTGCGTAGTCCTCTCGAAGAAGCCCCAGAAAAGAAAGTTTGAAAAGAAGTCCATAAGTGGAGTTTGGAGCCAAAGCTTTTTGAGATGAAGACGGAGAAGCGATCACGTGCGTTTTCAAAAAGTATTTTACCACGTGTTTAAGTAAATTTCCACTTTCTAGTCGCCATAAAAGAAAGGCGTAATATCCAGGCGGACGGGAGGAAAATAACTGAAGAAAGAAAGGAGTTTGGTCACCAGGAAGAGAACTTTGTCTACACAAGAAGAAAAGAAAAAAGATAAAAACTTTTCAACCTTGAAAGGACTGAAAGTGTACGGAAGAGCTAAGGCTCTTCCCCTTTTTTATTCTTATCATTGACACAGCAGGTGGGCGCTATTCCTTTTTTTTGTGTGCATTGTAATTTTTAAGTTTGTTTTATGCTATGTTTTTTTACATTGTGTTACTCAGAATAGGTTATTCTCAGCAAAAAGGGACGAATTTTTGCAAGAACCCTTATTTAGCTGGTTAGAAATAAATATTTTTTCTTTTGTAATTGAATCTGATTTTCATTTTTCTTCTTTCTTTTTCGTTATTAATTCGGGCAATAGAGAAAATACTGTTGCAGCAGGTTTTATTTTCTGAAAGAAAAGAAAATTTCCGAAGCCTTTTGTTGTTACATGGTTGGGAAAATTCTGTTGTTTTTATTCTTGGTCTATTACGGGTTACTTTACCATCTGAAATTTGGTTACTACCCATAATTTCCTTAAGGTTCTTAGGTCTACGATATGCTAGACGGCCAAGTTCTTCAAACAAAGTTTTTATGTCTGGTTTGAGATGTAGTATTTCCCAGCGACATTTGATTATCTGAGATAGTGGAGGAAGAGTGGTGTTAAATGTGGTTACTAGAGGGATGCGTCTGGATTTATTTTTAATTTTATACATTAGGGTGTCATCTCTAGGTGTGGAATTTGCTTTATTTATTTGTTCCCTGATTAGCTGTTGTTTATAGCCACGTGTTGTGAATTGATGCTCGAGATTATATATATATATATATATATATATATATATATATATAAGCTGTATTTCGCCATCAATATTTTTCGGTTAACAGTAAATCTGCCAAAGTTATTGGATGTTGCTTCATTTGTTTTCAATAATTGTTCTGTGTGTATTAATGCAAGTGATTTTTTAATTACGGTGTTCCCAGGTTAGATGGAACCAATTTCAAGTCACACAAGGTGACGTCATATGAACGATCAAACTTAAATATTTATGTGCATGTATGCTTCAAACACATTTCAATATATAGTCCCCACTGGAGAAAGACACCTTATTTAATGTTGGCTGCGTCTCTTTTATTACAACAGCCTCCAGAATTTGGAGTCTTTCTTGGACCTACATATAATTTTGAAAAATTAAGTAAAAAATTGATAGATAGAACATGTCCATATTATTTACCGAAACATTTGAAACACACACATTTTAAACATAAAGAAGTGGAGGAAAATGTGTAAAATACATTTCCACACAACTTACATACTTCAAGCTACAAAGGTAAGTTAAATATAAATATACATCTAAGTAATAATAAAAATAATACAAAGGTACACACAAATATCATGGCATATCTACATATGTAAATTATATGGATATATATACATATATACGGATACATGTGAATAACCACATTTACAAAAATATTAGAATGTGTTTGCAACTATCTACATATCACCATATTCGATACAATATTCACATAAAAAAGATAATGCACCCATATATAGATACATGCATACCCATATATATGTGTGTGTGTATGTGTACACACATCCATATACACACATATAGATAAAATATATTCATATCAATGAAAGATAAATAAGCTTAGAGTTATTGCTTGCTATATATTTAAATAATATATATAAATTGTAGGTACATATATACTTATATACACACATAAGACAATTATAAAGTCCCACACACAAACATACACATCCTTCTTATATAATAGAAGTGCCACAATACATGAAATACTTATTGTGACTAATATAGATAGTTGATCCAGGGACACTGGTGAAATCTGTGACGACTTACCTACCTTCTTAAGTATTGTGAGTGGGTCCTTTTAAACAGTCGAGGTGGACATACCTGACTTAGTGATTTCTGGCAATTTTTTACTTTACCGGTAATATTCGTGATTGTCTTCAATGTTCAAATTGCATTTTATGTTTTTGGAGGATTTGTTTATTGAGCCAAATGCAATGCTCAGAGCCCTTGTGCTGAGAGCAACTTTAAAAAAAAATTGCCTTTCTACCATTCAGATCTGACCAACAGGCTTTGATGTAGAGTGAATAAGGAAGAGATCTAATTTGAAACAGAGTATAACATTCAGTTTGATGAAGTAATCCTGAAACATGCTTCAAATGACTTTTGGGATAATGGATAAAAGGCCCCTTTATGAATAAAATTGTTAAAATCAAAATTTATGATTTTTGTAATCCGCCAGATGATACAATATTTTAGGTGAGACATCATCAAATTTGCAGTACGCCCAGAACAATTGTGATGACAGACAGCAAATGTTGCCCATCTGAAAAATTTGTAAGATCCTTCATGTTTATTTTTCTGGGCTCTAGAGTTCTGAAGTACTGAAAGACCTTCAAGTCTTTCAGTCATTGATGCTGGAAATTCTTTCTCTCAGATATATTTTTTATGTTATTGAAGCAATTGTTTGAAGAGAAGGAAAGGGGAATTGAATATGGCAAATTGTGAAGAATTAGGAGGTTGTGAATCAAGAATGGGTGATATTGGAGATGCATATTCAAAAATCGTTATTTTTTGTATTAGGAAGTCAGGTTGTTGGCATCTTTCTGTAGGAAGACTGGGCATTGGAAGAAGTTACCTCCACTAGTTTGACCTTTGCTGCATCCATTATTTTTATTAATTACAATGGGTTCTTCATTTGCTTTCCTTTTTCTCCTATCCATTTACACAAGCTCATTAGATAGGTATTTATGCTGCTTTCTCTGTCCCTCTTGCCTTCAATAAACCCTGTGGGTGTCAAATTTCTAAGCCTACTTTCACCATTATGTACCCAAGATTTTCAACTATCTCTTTCTGATGCAATGTATAAAGGTCTTTTTAATTTCCATTTTCTCTAAAACTTCACCATTGAAGTCCAGGATATTCTTTGCATCCTTCTGAAGAATTACATTTCTGTTACTTCATGTCTTTTTTCCTTTATCTTTGAGGAGATTGTCCAGCATTCACTGTCATATAGAAGGACTGATATTATGTAACAGGTCAGTATACTTTTCTTTGTTTCTAACAAAATTTTCCTGTTTCTTAATACTTTGCTTAGCTTTTGGAAGGCCTCTTTTGCTATTCCAATTCGTCCTTGAATTTTGATGTTACATTTTCCATCTTCTTCCTAGATATTCAAATTGTTGTACTTTTGGTATCTTCATTTTGTAATTTGCTTGATAGGCTTTTCCATTTTCTGACAACCACATATTATATCTTCTTGCAATTGTTGCTTAGTCATTTCTTCTCGCTTTCTGTACCTTCTGTGGATGTTCCTGGAAAGTGCTTTCTTTATCTACTATCGACACTATCATCTACCAATAATGAATACTAGAAGGAATTTCCTCTCAGGATTTCTTCACTGTAAAATTTGAATAAGTCTGATGGGAAGACATACTCTGGTCTTACGCCCCTTTGTATTTTTGCATATTTACTGAATTAATTTTCTACCTGTGTGTAGTATAATTTCTGGATGTTTTTAATATCCTTTCCAAATAAATCAGCTTTCCAAGTCTTTTCAACAGTTCTTTGTTGTGACATAATTCATCAAAGGCTTTTACACAATATACATCCTTTTGCATTTGCATCACTCTTTCTGATATCGTTCAGAGCAAGAATATCACATATGCTATTTATTGACAGTTCAATATATGTTTTGGAGCGTGCGATGCCGCGACACGGACGTTCTTGTTCAAATCGATCAAGTGAGAATTTTGTTTGAATTTTGAAAAATGATAAATCCACGAAATTTTCTTGTTATATGTGTTTATCAGTTAAAGTGAAATGGATTTAGGTATAATCCAATTAGTAGAGTAAAATTTTAAATTATTTTAAATTCTGTGGAAATCTACTCTTCTATACAATATCCAAATAATCACAAACATTCTTCACCTGATGAAGGTCACAAGACTCGAAACCTGTGTAGCAAAACTATGGAAAATATATATAATATATTTAATAAAATCCACTTTATGACCAAAAACGATAGCTGCTACTCTTTTATGTTTAAAATATACACTTTTCTCTCGTTGGAACCACTAAAATATATAATTTTGTATAATTTTACATATCAACAAACAATATTTAGAAAAATACAAAGCCCAATCCGGTGAAATTCTGACGGATGAAACGCCTCACAAGTAAATTTCCACTTTATCATATATATATATATATATATATATATATATATATATATATATATATGTGTGTGTGTGTGTGTGTGTGTGTGTGTGTGTGTGTGTGTGTGTGTGTGTGCGTGCGCGCGCCTCTTTGAGAGGTCAACGCTAGCTATTTCTGCACGAGGCCATAGAAATATTTTGGCGAGTATTCAGATGCGCGGTTAGCCCACTGGGGGTTGGAACCTCCCAAGCCTTCTGACAGTCTCCTAGGAGAAGGAAACTCTGATAGAAAAACTGCCGCATATATAAAGTACCGGGTTGAAATCTGGTGCGGGCTAGCTGCTCTTGATGAGGGTGAAAGGAGTCTCTGAGCTTTAGTTAGCAATCCTTTTAGTGTTGGTTTCACGATAAAAGACTTCAGATATGAAGTAAAACTAATGAAAGCTTAACCCGGTCATTATATTGCATGCGTCCGCCGAAAGGCGTGTACTGGCTGGTATTGACTGTGATCCGCGATAATAACACATGTGTGCTGTCGTTCTGAGTTTTCGTGGCAAGTCTTTTACACTGTTACTTTGTTATCGACAGATCCAAAAAGAGTGGATGGTCCTATATAAGCCATCACCACTTTAAACAAATCATTGTGTTGGTTCTCTGACAACTACATCTAATTTATTCCACACAATTCAACAATAACAATGGCAGGCTGAAGCCCTAAAGAGCAAACAAAACTCAATGAAAGTAACTGATATAGCACAGACCAATGGGAATAAGGGCTCTGAAACATTAAGTGAAGGGCAGGTGTCCCACGGTATCGCAGCGTGGGCCCGGTCATCATCCGGCTACTGCGAAAAACCCTACGAAACAATATCAACTTCATCTTGGCTCTTGGAATGTATGTACTCTCCAGGACAACAACTTAGCACCAGAAAGAAAGATAGCTCTGATCGCGTTGGAGCTAAAGAAGTATAACATTGATATAGATTCACTGAATGAAATGGCCTGACGTTTAATTGTCGAGTGTCAAATACGGACATTTCTGAGAAATGCAAGATTAGTACCATCGATACCATCGTAATGCAATCACAATTGCGTTGGTCTGGCAATATGGCAAGAATGAGTGATGATCTTATAACAAAAGTTTTTTTTCTACAGTCAACTCTATAGTGGTCATAGAAATGTTGGTAGACCTTGACTCAGGTATAAAGATAAACTGAAGAGCAACCTTTCTTGCGTCAACATCCCATTTAAGAACTTTGAAGAAGTAGCTATGAAGAGATCAGAGTATAATAAAGCACCATCAAGCAGTAAGTATTATTCAACTGCGTGAAACTCGTAAGCGAAATAAAACAGCTAACAGTGTCCCTGTTGCACTTGCATGCAATACGTTCACATCTACTGTTTGTGGTCTTTTGTGTAATTCTCGAGCCGTTCTTAAAAGTCATGCCCGTCATAGGCATGCAAGATAATTAGTAGGTGGTCGTCGGAACCTCATATGCCGAACTCGACGCGAGAGTCCATCATATATATATGATATTTAATATAAATCCCTATCCTAAAATTTAATAATTTATTGTTTACTCTTTATTCTATTCCTCAAAAATTGTGTGTGTGTGTGTGTGTGTGTGTGTGTGTGTCTGTGTGTGTCTGTGTGTGTGTGGTTATTGCTGACGCGTTTCGTCCAATGTGGGCTTTCTCAAAACAAAAAATGTCTTTCGCACAAAAAAAAAAAATGGATCTTAGGTTCTCTGGCCGTTACAGGATGCTTGTTGGCTGCTTCACACTGTGCACTAAGTGCTTCCAGCACTTTGTTATTAGGCCACGTGTACATATGCAATGATTGTGGAATGCAGAGAGCACGTAACGTAAAGTGCCTCGATCACTTTGACATAATGCGCATATATCAGTGTCAGTGAACACCCATAGCATTTGGTAGGAGATCATGGGTAGATCGCAAGAGGAATGATATTGCCAATGGCTCCATTGCGATCAGTGTATTCCATAATAGCTTCATTGGATCAATATCACTCCATGTCGTCCAAGCACATTATTTGGACTGAGAAACAGCACTAGCTTTTTACTGCTCTTCCTCAAAATTCCTGATTTCATCAATCACCATGTCTCGTTTACCCTTTGGACCCTGTTTGAAGAAAAACCTATTGCTCATGCTTGCCCAGGTCAGGTCCATTAGTTTGGGTCACCCCCATAATTTCTTTGGCCCATAGGCTGGATTCTTGGTTGTCTTCTACTGCCGACCATTAGGTGCCAGTAACTGGCTGTAACTTATCGGCGAAGTCCCTCGTCATCATATGAAGGCGTATCTTCCCGATCTTGAACTCTTCCACTAATGAGGAGATTGGAAGTTGCAGGTTTCCGACATTGGTATAGAGTCCACCATGGAGAAGCAAGGGGGAACTCCAAGCCACTTACGCAGGCACTTGTTGATACACTGCTGTGTCTGCTGAATGCGAGACAATAGATGACAGGGCAGAAACCCATGTTGCTAACACCAAGGCTTCTATTTGCTGGAGAGATGGGTTCGGTTGATGGATTCAAGTCCATCTCGTGCTACTTTCTGAACTTCTTTACCTCGGTGCTGTTCAGTGGAATTTCATACAGCCGTCCGAGGCTCTTCACTGGCTTCTCTTTGACTGTGGGGATCATCTCACCCCAATGCAGAAGTGAATCTCCCTGACAGAGCTTCTGAGTAATGATAAGCTCCGTCTTTTCTTGAACAGCCTTCATTCTCGTCCACGTGAAGAGCTTATGGTAGCATTTCAGCGATTCATCGGCATCGACCTTAGACAGGGTCAGAACAGTGATGCCATCCATGATTGCTCTGGAAGAAGGAAGGACCATTTGTCCCTTAATCATTACTCCCTTTGCTGTGCGTGCTGCAACTCGTAATATGAGTTCCATTGATATAATGAAAAGAAGTGGTGAAATCACAAACCCCATCATGATGTTAAACTCGAGGTCTTGCCACTTAGTGGTGTAGTTACCAATGGTGAACTGCATAAACGCTTCGCTGAAATATTTCATTATCATTTCCCCAACCTTACTATGGAAATTGAAAAATTCGAGGGACATTCGAATTAACTCAATACGCATTCGCGAGATCAAGCCAAATCACATGAAGCTCAGTTTTGTTTTTGTTTGTCTGTTAGGATTGAGTTCCAAAAAGCCTCAGGGATCAGGGGAAGCCAGGTATCCCAGCCTTCTGAACAGCTGTGTTTGTATAATGATTATCTAACAGGAAGTCCGTCATACGACGAGCAAGAACTCCCCAAAAAGGGAGATGGGACGGAAATTTGCAATGCCTTTTGCATTCTTTTCTTTAGGTATTCAAATGCCATCCGCCAGGCACCATATCTTGTTTTCTCTTGATGGACGAGGATGATGAATTGCTTGAGGACGTTTGAACAATTCTTATATAACTTGTAAAATATTCTATTTATTCCAGACACGGGATTTGCGGATGACTTTCCGAATTTCCCTCAGCTTTAGTCCGTTATTATTAAACATAACCTCTGGATTTTGGGTCCTAGGAAGGTCATTCATAGGATGGATTGGAACAGATGATTTAAAGATCCTCTTGCGGCTTGGTGAACAGCTTTTTAGCAAAAGCATAAGGATTGATGTAAAATGATTTCCGAAACAGTCGCTTTTTCTTCCAACGTTTTCTTTGGTTCTCATCTCTAGAGATCACTAAGATTCTTTCTTTAATATCCTTAAGCAGGTCTTTAAGACCTGCCCTCTCATGAATTTTAGCTTTTTGGGATCGGCGCTTCAAAACTCTCTGCTCTACTCTTAGTTTACCCTTCCGAATCTATAAAATAACTACAATTTCATTAACGAGCAACTTTACAATTCATTTGAATTCTTGATAAAGTCGTTTATACTATAATGACCAAACCTAAACAGCGCTATATCTTTCAGGTGTCTGTTCTACCAGCTGACTGTTGCAAATAATAATTAAGCTACACGCTTACTACAATACCTCCCCAAAAGTTCTGTTTTGAACCACCTAAACAATCCCAGCAGAGGAAAGGAGAAAGAGCAGAAGAAACTGACGATCAGCTGAGCAAGAGGAGAGAAGATACAGAAAGGCATGCAGCATGAGCATCACAAAATCAAGAACTAGCAGTCCTAATATAAAGATTAGATGCTCAACGGGCTGCTGCAGCAAGACAGACTGAAAATCAAGAAGGAGCTGAGAGAAGACGTACATTAAATGTTCAATGGAATGCAGCTGCCAGACAATCTGAAACTCCATAAGTAAGGGAGAATAGACTTTGAATGAAACAACCAGGCAACTGAATATATTATAATGAAAATAAACATTACTATAGCAGTATATATTTTTTTATTATTGATGTTTCTTGTAATACATAAATATTAGAATATGCATACGTTTTATAGTTTTCTTCAATCATTTATTTAGTTATATATGTGATGATTGCTTCATTTAGAGACGAAAATATAGAGAACACAGACCAGAAGGTTATATGCAACAATGACGGTATTGGCCTGGAGGAAGCACATCTTTGTTCTACATGAAAACTGTCAGTCTTTTCTATAGCATTACCTGGATGGATATAACTGTATCACCTACATGAATATTAACAGATATTTATTATATTATATGTCCAATACACTCTAATCAATATCTTACAAAAACAGCAGAATTTTGGCAGCTTCTAACAAATCCAATCAACCAAGACTGATTGCCTTTGGGCCACTTGATTCTTGGCTTCTTGGAATTTCTCCAGGGTGCTGACGGTCAGAAATGGGATTCTTAACACTGTAGGTGTAATCCGCATTCATAATTCCATAATTCGACTTACATTCTCCAATAGGGGAATTGCAATGCCTGGACCAGCATGCTTTATAGATACATAAACCCTGTTAGTATATATATATATATATATATATATATATATATATATATATATATATATATATATATATATATATATATATATATATATATATATATATATATATATATATACACACACACACATATATATATATATATATATATATATACAAATATATATACATATATATTCAAATACATATATATATATACACAAATGTATACACATATATATACATATATATATGTACACATACATGCACATATATAGTACACATATATACGTATATATATATATATATACACATATATACATATATATACACATATATACGCATATGTATATACTCACATATACACACACATATATATGCACACACATATATATACATATATATATATATATACACACACATATATATACACATATTTATATATATATATATATATATATATATATACACACACATATATGCATACATATATATACACACATATATATATATACATATACACATACAGATATATCCATATACATACACACACATACATATACACATTTAGTACTTTTTCCTTTTGTGCTCTGACAAATAGAACTTGCTGTTTTTACACCATAGGGTATACAATTCCATCTGAGTAAGCCTATTGGAGATTAATCATCATGGCCTTTCTATATTTTTCATCAATTTGTATCTTGTCATAGGCAAATTTGAGGTCAAATTTGGCAAAATATTTAACTGACAAAGCATTAATAAGTTTTAATGTTAGAAATGGAATTTAAGTTTCAAGGATTTAAAAAATTCTATTGAAAAGAAAAATTATCTAAAATTACTTAAAGTAGTTTATAAAAATAATTATTGATCCAGTAGATATGATATGATAGAAAATGAATTTTGAATATTAAATATATATTTGGCAAGAAAATTTTAGCTTAATCTCACATGGATATGAGTCCAAAATATAAATCAAGTCATTACAAAATAGAATTTTAGCATAAAAATAATAAAGTATTAAAAATACTTTAATGAATTTATCTATCTCCTTTTATTGTTTATTTGCAGAGTTGCCAGTATGCAAGATGCTGCGATGAAAGAGAATCGTCCAAGTATAATTCAAGAACACATAAGGAATCTGCGTAAATCACCAAAGACAGGAAAATTCTGGCTGATTGACAATGAGAGTGGCCTACTTGATGCTTATGACCTTTTATATAGGGACAAGATCAGTGGAAAGCACTTTGTAACCTTCCATCAACAAATGCTACATACAATGTGTATATTTCACAAGTCAGTGGCAGTTTCATTGCAGGCACTGAAGAACTTTGCATCTCCCCACACCAAACTAGAAGAATTTGCTCATCAACATGAGCCTTTGCTCAGTCAGCTTCCCAAGGATTATACTTATTCAATCTTTAAGTTTATGTTTTCAAAAAGATTAGCTGAAGTTTCTACCTGGATAGAGCAATGTAAAACAAGGTAACAGTGATAAAACCAAATCAACTGAACCAAAAAATGTATATAAAATTCTTGATAAACAAGATATAAAAACTCCCATAATTGTTCAAAGTTTTTTTTGGAAATATTGGTGATTATTAAGAAATAAAGCAAGAATATAAGAATAAATTATTTGCTCAGATCACATTTCAGTTGTCTTTATACTTGGTAAACAGCTTCCTATTTTTTCTGAAATATTGGGCTGTTTTGTGGTGTCCAGATTCCTTTTTTCTTATTCATTAACCATAAGGCTATTCTAAAAGTTAATGCATTTTTAATATTTTTCTTCTGTCCTGATGATTCTGGAAACAAATGAGAACATTTATCTATACTTTTCTTCTAACTTTGATAGTATCAGTTTGAAAACAGTTATGACGATAATATATTTCTCAACAAATGCTTTTTTCCCCATTTAATTACTATGTATAGTGATATTGTAAATGGCATAGCCACTTGTATCCAAGGATGCCAGTCTACTAGGGCAGCTAGCTAATCCCTGTTGCAGACACCTGTTCAGACACATTTGCATTTGTTCAACACCCACAGATCCTACCAGTGGTTTATAGCGCAACAATGCTGAGTGGACCTTAGTTACAGTCTCTGGGAGAGTGAACATTATCTAGCATGATTAAGGCCAGCATGCCCAAACCCTCAGTCATGATGACTTGTGACTTCATGCTAGCACAAACATCTCACTCACATTTTCCAAAGGTACTTGGGATTGCCTCCTCCAGACCAATAACATTCTGACAAATTGACCATCATGAAAATCAAACCAGTATCTCATAGTCAGAAAGCAAACATTCTAACTACTTGGCCACATGCCCATATCATAGTGATATTCCATTTACATATATAAATCATAAAATTTATAATACAATGTAGTAAACTTATTTTTTGATGTAATGTTGCCTGGTAGAAAAAAAAGGATGTAAACTTTTTTTTCATTAAGCTTAGTTTAAATTCAAATAGAAGAAATTGGAGTAGGAAGATTGTGTAGCATTTAATGCTCCTCAGTGAAGAAAGTTTGCTGGCTTTGAAAGTCAACATTCAAACTTCTATTTTCTTACTTTGGATTGAGCATTAAAAACTGGCACTAGTGTGAAATCTGTAACTCTGTTATCCCCCAAAATTTTGTTCTGTTTTTGATGTTATATGACATGAGGAGCATTTATTTTAATTAACTTTATTGAAAAATATCATTTTGCCTGTATGGTGACAGTTATGATATCAGCATTCATTTTTTAAAATTTTCACAGTTTTCTTTATTGATCCTAATATTAAATACAGAATAAGCAACATTTTCAACAGATTATACTTTTTTTATTTTAAGAAATGTAAAAATTCAATTCAGATACAAAAATAAAAACTTAGAAGTTTATGGAAAAGGTACTGTAAGTGATCAAATGTTAAGAAGCATAGTGAGTATTCAAAATGGACATCAGTTAACATAAGGACAATTACTTCTATGTCAGAGACTGGAAGACAACACAACAAGGGTTGCCAAGCATTGTACAAACCAGATTTTGTAAAAATGCGAATTTGTTGTTTTTCTTACTTTGAATCTCGTAGTCTTCCCATTCACATTCTACCTTTAAACTTGTTGCTAAAATAATAACAATAGTCAAGTAAGGAATTTTAGAACATGTTCCTCTGGTGGTAGTAATTGGGCATCATCCAATGTTGTTTTACAAAAACCAGATGGAGGTTTAAGGATATGTGGGATTGAAAAATAGGTGTAAACCACAAAATGTGCTTCAATTTGTTCCCTATTCTTAACATTGAAACTGCTATTCACAATTTGTTGGGAATTAAATACTTTGCCAAAATTGACATCAAATCTGCCTACAACAAGATACAAATTGATGAAAAATTTAAAGAGGTCACTACAATTAACTCTCTGATAGGTCTACTCAGCCAAAGCTAACTATTCAAATATTGAAGCATTAGTTAGCATAGATAGAGCTCACTAATTTTTATTAGACAGAAAGTTTCTGCTGAAATCTGACCATAAACCTTTAGAGTTTATTTTTAATACGAGAAAGGATTTATTTAAAGTTACATCTAGAATTTTAAGATGGGTCATAAAGTTCATGGCATTCGACTTCAACATTGAATATGTGAAAAAAACACTATTCCACATGTTAGTGCTCTATCAAGATTAAAATTCAACAATGAATAATCAGATAATTCAAAAGATAAAATATTACACTGAATTGAAACTGATGTATTAACACTAAATCATCTTGCAATTTGAAACCTTACAGGATCCAGTACTAAGCAAAATTACTTATAGAATAAAAAACAAATGGAGTGATTATTCTGGATAGAAAACCCCTATAATGATATAAGGCACAAGTTAACTATAGAGAAATTTTTTTATGCAATCAGGATTTTTTAATACTACCAGAAAGATTAAAAAAAGATGTAATAAAAAGTTTTATACAATGATGCTCATTGTAGAATAAAGCGATAATTAAAATTAGAAGCATGGTGGCTTGGTTATTCATGTGATGTAGAAAATATGTACAAAAATGCCCCAAATGTATGGAAATAAAAAATTTTTGGCAAACCAAGTTACATTCATGATCTAAAGATAAAGAGCAATAGGCCCACTTTCATATGGATCATGTACATATTAAATTTTTTGTGTATCTATTTTTTCCTATTGCCATATATATTAATTTTTCTAATTCATGACCTTATTACACTGTCTTCCCACATTTCTTTTCCATTTT